AAAAAAAAAAAAAAAGGAAAGCAATAAAGAAGGAAAGAGTCAGACACCAGGAGGAAAGGTCAAATCAGCTCCTGCTCAGCTTAGCTCTGTGAACTTGACTTGGGCAGAAGGTCGGAAGATGCAGGGACACTAGCATCTGGGGGAGACTGTGAGAAAGAGCAAAGGCACTCCTGATGCCAGGGACCAATTAGAGAAAGATAGACTCTCCCTGGGCCAATGCAGCCCCCACATAGGTCATATGGCCAGAGATGAGACTAGCTGATTTCAGCCCTCAACCCACAGAGACTGACCACATGGTCCACGTTTGCCTGGGACTAAGGGATTTCCCAGGATGCTAAATTTATGAAAGTCCTGGGTAGTCGTTATGCTCTTGTTACTTCCTATCGTTCTCTCCTACTAACGCTACCCCCCTCCCCTACCCTCCCCTCACACCCATTTCTGCAGGGCACAACCCCATAATCCTAGAAACCTGCCCCGGATGGAAGGACGTTGCTCGAGAATTCACACATGTTAGCAATTGCAGCGTCCTCTCTAACAGGTCAATCTCCTGTAAGCCTGTTCCCCTTCCCAAAGCCCCGAGCATTTACCTTCCCCCTTGCCGTAGGAGGAGCTGGCAGTCCAGGCCTTGGCCTCCACGTATCCCAGCTCCCGGCAGACCACGTGGGCGGCGTGGATGGAGAAGTCATCGTCGCACACGGTGCCCCACTCGCCCTTGTAGTACACCTCCACCCGTCCCTCACTGTGCTTCCTCTTCTGCCCGGCCAGGCGCAGCTGGATCTTGACCACGTCGGAGGGCACCTGCGGCTGGTGGTACTCGGGGGCCGGCTGCTGGAAGTATTCGGGGTAGTAGGGCCAGCTCTCATACTGGGCCAGGCTCGGGCCGGGGAGCAGGGAGAGCAGCGCCACACCGCCGCTGAGGCAGAAGCCTAGCAGTGGCGCCATCTCCATCCTCTGGCTGGCTGCGCTGATGGAAGGGCTGCACGCAGGCAGTTCAGAGCAGCAGGCAGGGCACAGGGCCCCCAGGACAGGACGTAGCAGCTGTTTCCTGGGAAAGAGAAAAGCTACGTTAGAACAGGGGGTGATGTCGGCTTGGGTGGATTTCCAAAGCATGCAGTCACTTCATCCTCCCCCTTTTCTCCAGGGTCTTCCTGTTCTTGACTCCCATCTACCCTCTTCTCCAACTACTCTCCTCTCTGGCTTGTAGTCAGACAGGTCTAGGTAAATCCAACCGTTTTAGTATACACCCACCTGCACATAGCTCCCAAACGCCTGTGTCTCTAGGCTTCCTGGCGGAAACACAGTGGGCATGCAAACTGCGTTTGAAGAGCGTTTAGAAGGATGTATACCGTTTGCAGAGATGTCGGCAGAGCTCAGAGAAGCTAACCGGGGACAGCATAACACCTCGGGGCTGGTGAGCGAGGGGAGATGCCCCCAATCCAGCCCTGAAGCACTCGAGGAAGTGGCCGAATGGAGAAGGTCCACCTGTTAGACAAGGGCAAAGGGCTGCCACCAAGGGAGGGTGGAGAGGGTGATCTGAAGGGGCACACAGAAGGTTCCAGCACCCTCCCCAACCTCGTTGCATCTCCTCCTTCTTCAAACCCAAACCGAACTCACTGCCCTGCAGTCAATTTTGACTCACAGAGACCCAGTAGGGCAGAAGAGAACTGCCCTGTGGGTGTCCAAGACAGCACGTCTTCACGGGAGTAGAAAGGCTTATCTTCCTGCCAGGGAAGGACTGGTGGGTTGAACTTCGCTGACTGTGGTTGGCAGCCCACCTCTCGTAACCCACCAGGTCACCAGGGCTCCTCATTCGCCAAGATCCACACATTCCCCACCTCTCTCATGCAACATTCCTACTGAACTCCCTCACTCCCATGGAGTCTGGTGAGCCAATAGCACAGAATAAGACTGTCCCTGTGAGTTTCCAAGACTGTAACTCTTTACGGGAGTAGAAAGCCTCATCTGTCAATGGCGGAGAGGCTGGTGGTTTTGAACTACCGACCTTGTGGTTAGCAGTGTAACTCACACAGCCCAACACATAGCTTCTACACCACCAGGGCACCTTCCCTACTGAAGTGGTCTCCAAAATTCCCTGCTTCCGATGTGGGCTGACTAATGAGACATTCTCCTGACCCGACCCAGACACTTCCATTTTCCCAACTAAGTTACAAACGTTTTAACAGCAAGACTTGCATCTTGCCCTTCTCTTGCCCCTCCATCATCAATGTCACAGGCTCCAGGCAATGCTCATTGACTGAGAAGTGACCTGGTTCTAGGGACGGAGCCACTAGGGGAGTGTGGGATCTGGGAGCTCCACACTGAAGCCACTGTGAGTTCTTTGGCTACTTCTATGTCAAGTGTCCTTACTGCTTGTGGACATATGTTGACTTGGATTACACGGCCCCTTCAAGGTGCCGAGAGGAACAGTACGAGGCTCTGAGTCTCTCTCTCTCTTTCTCTGCTTTCTCTCTGCACATATGCCTGCACCTACGTGTGGCCCTTCAGACACGGCAGCAGCCTGTTGCACATGCACACATCTCATCATGCCTTAGCTCTGGACCACAGGACAGACAGATGCAGCCACTGTCCAAGATGAGCCCTCTTAGACAGGGCTCATCTCTAATAACTGGGAGGTGGTTTCTGTAAACAACTGCTTCAGAGAGCCGTCCAGTGCACATGGCTCACCTTTAGAGAAGCCAAGGATGCTCAGGGGAGGAGTATGCTCCTGTTCACAGTGTCTATCCCTGAAGGGTACTGGGTGCTGAGACCAGGGCAGGGCCCAAGGAGTCTGCCACCAGGCAGAGTGGAGTGGTAAAGAGCAGACTCTGGGAGCAGACCATCTGAGCCGGAGTGTTCATTCTGTTATTGACCGGCGCTTGCACCTTGAGCTAAACACTTCGGGCTTCTGTTTCCTCATCTGTGAAATGGGGATACGAATTGTATCCAGGGTCCTAGATTGCTATGAAGGTGAAAGCAATGGCGCATAATAAGGACTATAGAGGTAATTGCTAAATAAACAGTTGAAATCCGCAAGGATGTGCTCACCATACCTTCGCGGTGCCTACTTCTAAGAATTCCAGAAGGAGGTCACATAAACCAAGAGACCAAACGCAATGCCATTGAGTCCATGCCAATGACGCATAGTGGCCCCATCGAGCAGGGGAGGCCTGCTCTGGTGGGTGTCTGAGATGGTCACTCTCTAAGGGAGCAGAAAGCCTTCTCTCTCTCCAGCAGAAGGGCTGATGGTTTCGAACTGCTGCCCTTGAGGTTACCAGCCTAACTGGTTTGGGTGCCTTGGTCCTTTAATGATTCAGAGAAACAGAAAGACTGCCTCACAGGACTGCAGGTTTGTGTCATGCGAGAGGAAGTAGAGTTGGGGTCTGGTGTCCCACAGAGCAAAGTCAGAACGAGTTGGAGGAAGGGCAAAGAAGGGATGATGTAGGTATATTTCCAACCAGGCAAGGAAGGTTCATTTGATGGCTCCTCGTCCTCAGCTCATAGCACATGCTCATCCAGAAAAAACTGTGCCCCTTTCTTGCAGTCAGGGTTGTCCAGAGCTGCCACAGGAAGGCAGGGAGCCTCCCCGCAGATGGAGGAAGTTCCATAGCTCTTGAGATGTCTGAGTAGAACCCACAGGGCACAGGGCCGGAAGTGCTGGGTAGGAAGTCAGTACCAAGACCTTTGGAAGGTTCTCTGATTTCACAGGGACCCCAGCAAGGATGGGGCGTCTGCGGTTCAGAAGTGATGGCAGAAAGCTCAGGGGGCTCCCACGAGAGTCTCCTTCAGACTACAAGCCTGACAAACTATTACCAGCTCTTAGGAGAAACACCCATGGTCTCCTCTGCCCTGACCACCACTTTATTCTCATCGAAGCATATTTGTAGCCCCGAATTTCTCTATGCCACACAATTACCTTGAAAAGGTAGATGGTGTGAGTCTTCACTTCTCAAGGGGTCTGATCATCAAGAACCCTAGAGGACTAGGACTTTCCCAGAGTAACACAGCCAGCTCAGGCAAAGGCAGAGCTAGCCACTCCCAGGCTATAGAAATGCCAGCGAGCCACCGTCATATATAAACAGCATCCGAATTCATGGGCTACACAAGCCTTTACAACTGGGCACATGCCTCCATTTTCAGCTTGAATTCCAACTACACTTTCCTCCCGCCCCTCACCCCAGTCCTTCACATGTCACTCATCCAATTAATTAGAGGATGGAGTCGCCACTTAGATCAATGTGTCTCCATGCCTACCCTGTCATCCCCTCCAAAGAGTCACAGATGACAACCCGACCACCTTTCAACGATATCTTCCCAGGTCTCCGCATCAGAATGGCTGTCTCTTCCGATTCCCTCGAGGGTAGCATTTTGTCCGTGCTTTTCACACTGCTGAAGGAGCCTGGGTGGTGTAGGGGCTACCTGCTGGCCGCTAGCCACAAGGTCAGGAGTTGGAAACCACCAGCTGCTCCGTGGGAGAGAGAGGAGGCTATCTACTCTCAGAAGGAGTTAGAGTCTTGGAAACTCACACGGGCAGTTCTACCCTATCCCGTAGGCTTGCCGTGAGACAGTGAGTTGCATTACCTTGCCACCCTGTTTCCCCGAAAGTAAGACATCCCCCGAAAATAAGACCTACTTACAGTTTTGCCTCTCGCTGAAATATAAGGCATCCCCCCAAAAAAAGACCTCCCTGAAAATAATGCCCCCGAAGCAACCATAACTCTGAACTCTGGACCGTAGCAGCGGGCTCCGCCGCGCAGCTCACTGTTGGCTGCAGCGCAGCCGGAACAGACAGGAAGTGCGAGGTCTCTTTTAATAAAACAATAAATGTCTACCGTATTCTTCTTCATGGAAAAATAAGACATCCCCTGAAAATAAGACCTAGCGCATCTTTGGGAGCAAAAATTAATATAAGACACTCTTATTTTCAGGGAAACAGGATAGGATGTCTGGCTCAACCACTAGATCTTAGCCTCCCAGAGGCAAAGACTACCTCTTTATCATCTCCATACAGCAGTAAGTCTGCTTCTGGTGAAGGCAGATTCGCTTGTCCTAGACAAACCTTTCTGCCACGAGGAACCAGCAATGCAGATAAAGTACTAAAAGCGCAGATTTGAAGACAGTGAAGAGAGAGCGAGGCCGGAGGACGCCAGCCAAGAATGCAGAGATGAGAAGTGCTGTGAGCTGTCTCTGACGTTTGTTACTGCTTTTCCTTAAAGGCACTGGCTCATTCCAAGGTCGTGGTCAAGAGGCTGAGAAGCGAACCAAGCTCTAGGCAGCCTCCTGGGACCAAGGAAATAAACCTTTGAGTTCAGAGTCTGCCAAGGAGGTGGGGTCCTGTCTAACAGCCCTGCGCTACCAAGTAGGATCTTTGAAGGGTTGCATTCTAGAAGTTACGGCAAAGAGTTGTGTGCTACAGATTAGACAGAACTAATAGCCACATAACTGGAATACCAATGATGAGGAGGAAAGGAATACACAGAAGAAATATTTAAAGAGATTATTGCTCACATTTGGGGAAAGATATCACGTCCAAGAAATATTGTTTACAAAGAAAACTACGCTTGCGAACATGAAACCCAGCTGTGGAAAACCCAAGACAGAGAAAAATCTTAAAAGCAGTGAGAATATAAAAGTCACATTATCTTAAAGAAACAACAAGGAGGCTCTTCCTGGCCTCTCAGCAACAATCAGGAAGCAAGAGGGTAAGGGAAGGCCATTTCCAAGTACGAAACAAAAATAATGTGTCAACTTCTAATTCTGTGTCCACAAAAGTGAATGGAGGCGGCCAGGTCATTTTAAGACAGACATGCGTCACCACAAGACTCATCAGAACAAATACTAAAGGGAGCCCTTTGGGTCTAAGGAAGAACGGTCCCAGATGAACATAGGGAAGTGTAAGAAGAAATGAGAATTATGAAAGGGAGAAGGCATATGAATGAACAGCAACAGTATAAAGCAATACTGATGTGGTATTGAAAAGATATGCATTGTCAAAACACAACATTTCAACCCTACCACAAATGGATTAAATCAGCAGTTCTCAACCTA